TGAATGTATGAATTTCGGATGAGAATATTAATCGAAACTTTGTAGGATTCAATTTGTCATATAGATGTACTACTAGAACCTTTAACGCGATACTGGCGAATACAGAGTCTATGGGAAAGCTGTAGTCAGAACGAGGTCAACTTGACTTTAATCTTTATCTGTTTCTCAACATCAAAACAATCTTGTCTCAGAAACTACCTTGAGAATAGAAAGTTTCGTACCAAGGTAAATAGAGTGCACGTGAGCTGACGAGTATCCACGTCGGGAGTCTCACAGTGGACCAGAATAGGTCTACTTGTATTCCCAATATTTATAAGCGGTTTGTTAGGCTCAGTTAGCTCACTGGCATTGATTTATGCAGACGATGCAAAGATCTGGATATCCATTAGAAGCGAAGAGGATTCGACTGGGCTTCAAAAGGACCATACATTCATAGAGGAATAGGCAGTGAAAAACCGTTTAAAAGTAAATCAACCGAAGTTTCACGTCACGCGTATTCTGCCTCACTCGACGCAAACGATCTACACTCTCAATCAAAGTCTGCTTCCTAATGTCTCCCAAAGCGCGATTTCGGTTTGATAACCACAGAAAGACTCCACACGAGCTCGAACTATGTGGGAGACGCAGCCGAGGAAAGTACGACTCTTCACTTTATGTGAAGTCAACTTGGTGCCATCACCTTAGAATCATTCCTAACACTATTTAAGACGTATGTGCACCCACACTTGGAAGTTCTCAATGTCATCGCACTCCTTGTGCTATAAAGAGACGTCAATCTCTTGCATCAAGTGCAGAGACAAGCAACCAAATGGGTGATAGGGTTGAATAATAAACCTTACGAAGATAGACTGAAGCACTTGGCATTATTCCCACTGAGTTACAGGAGGATCAAAGGTGATCTGATTATGTTGTACAACATACTAAGCACGCCAAACCATCCCAATATGAGCGTCTTACCGATGCATCACCACCACTCTCCTCGAAGGAATCCTCTAAAAATCGTACATTAAGGGGCGAATACTCAAATTCGTGCACACGTTTTCTCATTGCGAGTCGTCGCAACTTGGAATGCTCTCCCAGTCCAGGTGACCACACAACCCGCAGTGAACAGCTTTAAGAAGAGACTTGATAATCACGTAGGCACATACGAACTATCATCTCTCCCTTGAAAAGGCTGTGCCTGATGCATATCTTGAGACCTGCTAGTTGTTATCATTGCCATCTGTCTCGCCTATTATCTCTGTTTCCTCTCCCTTGCCTACACTTCGGTCCTCTCTCACAATCTTCACTATCAATTATTCAACTAACTACCTATTTGTTTACTTAGTTCTGAAATCTTATGCATATTAGCATCAGCATTTTGTCCTTCCACATTGCAACTAACTGATCTGCGGTCTGGTAGTGTGATATCTGCTGGTGTCCAGAAAACGTACTGCACTGACACAAAAGTTTCCGTTCAAATCCCGAGACATATAAACTCACAGACAACTGCCAACTGACTATAATTAGACAGTCAAGTGGCTAGACCCTCATTCATTGGACACTACCGAACATCTGGAACCGTACAGAAAGAAAAAGAATTGAGTGCGAAGAAATCAAATTGGTTTACACTAGCTCGTGGATTGGATTTTGGGGATTAGTACAATAATTAAGGAAATAGCAGTTATCAAGTGAAACGATTAAACATACCGAGATGAATAAAATTGAGTCACATCAATATAATAAAACAATAATGTCCCTCAATTAACAGGTCATTTACAAAAGAGACATTTTGCAGACACGTCAGGCTGGATCATCTGGTGGGCGGTTAAAACACGATTTGATTAGTTAGCCATGGAAATAACTAACAGTACACTCCAAACACTTGACAATCACATTAAGTATTGCATATCAGCACGTCATATCAAATGAGTTAGAATACAAGTTAGAAGTTTCTACTAGAAAAACAACATGTTGAGAACCGATAATATTTGACCATTACATTCAACACCGTTGTCTTTGAAACACTATCATACCAAGAAATCCAGTGTGTTTAAATGCTAAGTTGCTCTGTCATTGTGCAACGATGTCCATATGAGTGTCAATGATAAAGTGGCATCCACAACCTAATCAAGTTCAGCTTGTACGCGTCAATTGAATAAAAGCCTCGTATGATTAAATAAGTACCGGTGTTTTCATTATACATCTTGCTTCACAATAATAATCCTCGTATGTTAGATTTCATGAAAGCGAATCAGTGTGTGACCTTAATTGAGACTTTTATCATAGGATGACATTTCAGTGGCACAGATGTGATTCTGAGAAAAGTCGCCTAATTTCTAGAGTCCAAAGAGAGATATTCATCTGTGTGCGAAATGACATTTGAGATATACAGTTGTAGTTTTCATCACAAATTGACATTATTTCCAAAAGCGATTACGCTCGTTATCCGCATTCATGAATGAATTTCGCGTCAAAGATCAATATTCAATATCTTCAATCAGAATAGTTCATCTATCACTGAAAGTCACGCCAAGATGAAACAAATTATTCTACTAAATCTTTCTACTCTATGATTGAACATTCCATTTACATTTATCTGCACTGCCTACAATTTTGAACTCACTAGTCACAAGTTGTTAATGACTGAAAATGATCAAATTATCAATATTTTTAAACCAATAGTAGGAAGTAGTTACTACTTTTCTCATTCTTTGACCTACATCTTTGTTGAAATTCTCAAGAGTTTTGATTATTTTTTAGTATTCTTTGTATTACAATTTGTAAAGTGCGCGATCAAAATATTAGCAGTGGTTTGAAGATATTATTTGCGTTTACTCTGATAATCCGCTCCTGCATATCTGCATCAGATACACCGAGTTCATCAACAACATTACCAGGAAATTCAATGGCTTTTGTATACATTAAAGCTACTCTATCAAAAGTGATCTTGTGTTGCATCGAAGCATCTTAAATTTTCAGCTCGTAGATGTCGACGTCTACTGTTTCACAGGATGCTGCTGTACTTTTCGTCTTCTCCTGCATTTTCTGTTCCATATGTTAGATAGGAGAGCCGGATTATTTGAATTTCTGTGAGAGACGCTTTCATAATCTTTAGCTTAAATACCTCACTGGGTAAATCCTCGACCGTCACTAGTTCATAGATTATTTTGGTAGGCACTTTTTGTGGCGCTCGCTGTGACGTAACCATCATTTATACACAGACTCGATTTGTGTGTTTGTCGCTCTCTTATTTTATGGCTGCTTGTAGAATACACTTTCTAAGCCTTACCAAATTTTCTTGATATAGTTAGCCGGACCGGTGACAAACAGATTAGAATAGCATATCGTGTCGCTGTATCATCTGGCTTCGCACCGTATACCGAGTGCGATTAACTCATCATAGCATTCATGCATATCAATTGGCGATAGTGGTTTTTGGAAACGTGGATCATTCTGAACTTGATCCATAACTTGAGCAGCAGCTAAAATCAAAGCCTCCATCACACCCTAGGACATCGAATTCTGCCTCAGAACCATGGGTAGTTAGCCTATCAATTAGAATTGTTGAGTTTCATTAGGATCCAGATGCCGACGTTACTTTTGAAATATGGCTTCGGCGTTATGAATACCTATTTAAATTTGATTTCGCTAATCAAGATGATGCTTGGAAGGTTCAACTGCTACTTAGAAAGTTTAGTGCAGGTGAGCTAGATAGGTACTGTAATTTGATCCTGCCATGGAGTTAACGTGGTCGCTCATTCTCAGACACAGTCGAGGCACTGAGTCAATATTTTGGCGACAATCGTATCTGTTTAATACTCGTCGATGTTTGGATGTAATTCAAAATGAAGACGATGATTTTCTTACGCATGTGAGCATCGTCAACCATGAATGCGAAACTCTCCGGTTGAAATATTCGACTGAAGATCAGTTTTAAGCCCTCATCCTTATTTTCATAAACAAGTAAATAAATGTTTGCCTTCATTCTTTTCACACAGACAATTTCTTCACATGATATATTGATAAAGTGATGTTGTCGACTCGAACGGTAACGTTTCACATCTTCAGATAGTTCGCTGACTGTTCCTCGACGAATACGTCAACCTCTCATTGTATCGATAATTATTATCACCTCTTTTAAAAATGTTAGGCCTAGAGCTCTGGATGATAATAGTATTATTCTACTCCCCTCTTTGTTCGACGGGTTCTCGATCGGTCATATGTCATTCACCATAATCTACGCTTGCTCTTTCTGAATAATACTCAGGTGATAGTGTATCTATGAGATTCCCATCCTACATTACGTCTCTTGAATTCCTTGCATAAAATTACTGCAACTTTTAGTATGCGGAGCATTTCAATCTTCAAGGCCAGTTTACAACAGCATCACTCTCCTTAATCGCATCTATATTATCTTGTTCACTTTCAATGTGTTTCACTGATTGCAAGTTACACGAGGTTATATGTTTTCGTTTCTACAGCAACTTGAACCGTTCTGCTGGTCAACCACGTTATGTGAAAATTCTATGAACCTATAATAATTGTTAATCTTGTTGTCAAAAAAGTGTGCATCGGCCCCGTGACTTCCTTAAGAAACTGTGCTTTTATCGATAAACGGAGTGAACCTTCAAAATGAAGACCCTACAACTGTCGAGCCTAAGTTTGAAAGGTTTGAGTTGTAAGTTCTACTTGGAGTATTTCTAACAACTTCATGTTGAATAAGATTTCGCAAAACATATATCTCACTCCAGTCCATTCTCTAAGCGGTTCGAATAACTGGCTTCTATACTCATTTTCAATTACCACATTGTTCTCATATTGAATTAGTTTACTAAGGTTAACTAGATATTCGAACAGATAAGGAAATAAAATATGATGCTGATTATGCTGATTTTACATTTTCAAATCAAAATTATCACGATTATCAACAACAATGTGTAAGTGAAAACTTGATATAAACTTATTCAGTTAATATTAATTAGTTGACTGTTCAATTCAATTGAATGTATGTTTTGATTCTATATAATTCCTGGATGTGCTCGAGCAGCCTCCTTAATTGATCCACATTTGTTCACTGCCTCTCTTAACTTTTGTAAATCAGATTGTTGATTAGTTTCAGGGAATGGTATGTTAGCCGGTATATCGACATTTAAGAATCTACATAATGGTTCCCAACCATCACCAATTCGATATGTTAGAAGACGATCAGATGGTACAGTTTGTTGTACATATTTGAAGAAATCTTCATAACATGCCAGCAACATTTCATCATCATCGAAATTAAGATCATCTTTGCGAAATGCCAATTTTAATGAATCATTGATAAGGATATCTAATTCCACAGGAATTCCAGCTCGTCGTTTAGCATCGTCTTTGTGTTTTTTACGTGGATCATCTGATTTCGGTTGAATTACTTGTCGAAAACTTATCAACCAATCGTATTTATCTCGTGTTGTTAGTACAACCTGAGTAAAATATAGAATATGTGTTATATTATCAATGAGAATATATATTAAAAGGACTGTACAATTGTTTAACCAAAACAGTGTGTAGATCAAACGGTGGAAACGAGTTTATCTGAGCAACTATTTTGTATTTTAAGAAATCCTTCTTCAAACTCTACTATTATCAATCCAGAAATGTTGTAGTTGAAAAGGTCATTTGAAATCGTTCACCTTAGGGTTATCACTCATACTGTAAATACTTACTTACTTACGGCAGTTCCCTTCAATATAGCACTGGCCGTCGACCAGTATACTCTGTCTTAGGCCTTACTTTACAATTCTCTCAAGTTCTTGTCCATTCTTCACAAGTTTGTCTCGATTTCTCAGCACAATTGTATGAATCAAAATCATTGGCGAGTTTCACAATCTTAGGAAATAGCATGAACATTAAGTGAGGCCAGTAGAAATTCAATGAGTCCGAGTCTACTCTCTCGTTAAGATGAATGTTTATCGAGTTACACAATAAATCACAGAACTTTTGGTGGTATATCAAACATTATGTTAGTCATTGATGTAAAGCGCACACCACGGAAGGGAGATTGTAAAGATTTCCAGTGAAATCAATATTCAAATGAGATGAATCTCCGAAAATAAAAGTACAAATACAAACAAAGTAATGATGATCGATCATCTTACCTTAGCATTCGGATACAAAGTCATCATCTCTTTGAATAACCAACATGAATGAGTATTAACCACACCTACATAACCAGATAATATCTCACTCAAACATGCATGTATTTTCTCTTCATTGTGTGTAGTACGTACTTCATCGGCAAGCATTTGCCATTTCGCAATATCATGTTGTTTTGTGGTAACTAGTTCATAACCATGATAACATGGTTGAGAATAGATCAGTTCTAATGCTTTTTTCATACTCAATGTTCCGGTTCTTGGAAGACCAGCTCCGATAACTAGTAGTGATGTGGACATGTTTGACAGATTATCAGCTGAAAACAGAAAAAAACATAATTCGGTTTGAAAACACATCAGATCATTACAAAACAACATTTCAATTGTAAAATGAACTAAAATTTTATTGAACAATGATACACATTCAAACAAATGAAGCGTGGATTATGCCGTCATTCAGAAATATGAAATAACACAAAATCAATTGAAATCAACAGTCGATCAGTGTTCAAATACGATGAGGAAAACTGTGATGCCGAACAGCCATTTACTTCTAGCTCAGTATTCATCAGCATCGCATTAACGAATTCCGACACATGAGATTGTGCTTCGCCTGTTAGCCTTCAACCTTCAGCCGGTAAGCACCGTTGTCAATTGGTGATAGACTGTTAGTCTGGCAGGCGCACAGAATCAAAGTCTACTTAGTTAAACTTCTATCAATTCAAATAAATACTGTAACCATGATTACTGTATGTAAACTGTTACAGATTGATGAAACATACTAAAGCACAGTTGTCAAGTGATTGAATTAGATATAAGAATAAGTAAGTGACATCCATTTGTATATATATATATATATATATATATATATATATATATATATATAGATCTAGTCTATACATTCTGAACAAATATTCTTGCTCTTCTAATTGGTTAATAAAGACACTGATAAGTGAATAGTTACAATGTAAAAGAGAAATATAAGAAAGTGATTTAGTCTCTTTCTCAACACCCATCGACCCATTTTTTTTAAAAATAATTCTATCACCTTATGTTCATCTTTAAAATTATTATATTTTCTAAAACTTCAACATCACAGAGTATTTTACACCAGACAATTTGATCTAAATACTATAGACTTGTCACACCGCTGAACTTACAACTCGTATGATTTTTTTTTTGTGATAGACGTTTTCGGTCAATGTGATCATACACCGTCATTTGAACTAGTGTGTTACAATAAGCAGTATCACAATATCTGAACATGATTCGTGCTAATCACTTGAACTAGTCACTTCATTGAAATATCAAGAGTGAAGTAGATCGCTTAATTGGTTATAGGATCCAATATGCGAATACTTGTCTATGAAGGCCTATATTCCATCTCCTTGGAATAATAAGTCTTTTCTTCAACACAGAACAAAAACGTTTGCGAGTAATCAGATGAATACAAAGGAATGATTTATCTAAGCAGACCATGAACTCACATTTAAACTCTGTTCACATCACACCGAAACATTTGCAACAATTGCACATAGTAGATATTTGTTCAGATAGTGTAATTACTTGGATAACTGATCAATATTTCATGAAATGTGAATATCAGATACATTGTAGTAGAGTAGTTGAAAGACATCAATGTCACTATGAATATGGTACTGGAAGATCCAACTAAGGAATTATATTTCTGTGTATACTACTCCGCCTGGAGACACTTTGGGGCTACTGCCAGTCCCAAGCCCGAGTGAAATAGGAGGATTTGGATTTGGTTCTCGTCCCGCAAATTAATTAACCTGCTAAAAAGGCCTTAACAGGAAAAAATAATTCAAACCATATGAACTCTACTCTTGAAGTTAGAAGATGTTCATTTGGAAGAGTTATGACGTCTCATGATGAAAGCCGATTTCTTTCGGAAGTCATGAGGCTGATGCCCCTTCTGACAATCAGAACCCTTCCACGGTATGGGCAGCCGGGAAGTAACATGCGCCCTCATACCTATGAAAGAACACGAAACCGAATTGGTTACAATCAAATCCTTTCTACACCTTTTAATAACTCTGTTATCCCCTCGACCAACCTTTCTGTCGATCGTTTATCACTTCGCGCCACTAGAGCAAACGGTTTGAGCCCACGAAACATCCTTCTCGGTCTTTGGAAACCCCGTACTAAGTGACACATTGGAACTTTTAATGTTCGAACCCTATGCCTCATACGGCAACTGACTTCATTATCTACAACTCTGGAATTTCGAGCGATCGATGTATGATGCTTCTCCAAAACGCGCATGCAAGATCCGAGTAAAATCATCAGTTTGATTTCACCTTGTACAGATACAGACAGAACACGGTTTACACTTCATGTCCCAGGTAGCCCTGATGCTGCTTACCGTGTCCTCGTTGGCGTACGTATAGGATTAAGTCCTAGGGCAGAACTAGCTCTCTTAGACTGGATCTCTGTAGACAGCCAGCTATGTGCCGTCCGACTAAACAGAACGGTACGGACTCGGAAGGATAGGGCCATTCGCCCTTACCTCTTCTTCATATCTGCCCACGCTCCCATTGACTGCAGTCCAGACGAAATAAAAGATAAGTTTTGCAGAAACAGCCCCAAACTTCTTCAAAAGCGTAGGCGCTCTGATATAGTGATAATGGCTGGTGACTTTAACGGTCAAGTAGGTAGACTCAGCAAAAATGAAAGACACCTGGGTGGATCATATGGTTTCGTAACTGAGAGAACAGATAATGGCGACCTCTGTCACGCGTGTGTTCAGATAACCACCTATTACTAGCAAACACCAATTTCAGGCATAAGGAAAAACTCTCTTGACCTGATGACCCCCAAACGTTCACCTAACGATGGACTGAACTAGATCTCATCGCTATATGCCATTAGTGGAGAGACTCTATTGAAGAATGCCGCTCATTCTGGAGCACCTGTTTAGACTCAGACCATGGTTTAGTGAGAGTGTTTATTTGTTTACGTCGCTGGAAAAATATCGCTGGAAACCTCTTAGGGCTCTACTTAATGATAATAAAGCTAATAATATATTTCAGGAACAACTAGAAAAACAGTGGGGCGGCCACGTAGTAAGTGATGCCCATACTGAGGCAGGTTGGAATGATATCGAAAGCGAAAGCGAGAGAGATGGATAAGGCAGCGGTGATGGGCAACAGTTAACAATTATTCAGACTCATCCAGGATACCGGCATTAGGGACCGGAATGTGAGTGGGACTATTTCGGAAAAGGATGGTCTTATTATTCATTCTCAATCCAGGAGATTGGATCGATGGGCAGATAACTTTAGGGATCAGTTCAACTGGCATTCAGCCACACTTCGGCTGCCCACGATCTTCAATCATCCCGAATGGCAAATCGAGGTATGTTGTCCGACTCTTCATGAAGTTGAGAAAGCAACAGGAAATCCGAAGCAAGGGAGACTAGCAGGTCCTGATAGATCGAGTCCTGAGATTGTTTAGGATTGTGGTCCAGCTTTAGCAGCTAGATTGACTGAATTCTTAGGTAGAATCTAAGAACTGGACGTGATCCCATCCGACTGGTCTCAATCACTGATTGTCTCAATATATAAGTAAGGACAAAATTCCTCCTCCTCCGCCTCAATTATACATAGACGCCTAACTAGGGCTGGTGAAGGGCAGAATAGAGAAAACCAGGCTGGTTTTTTATCTGGACGTGGTTGTATAGACCACATCTTCACACTACGACAGGTTCTGGAACACAGACACACATTTAGGCGTCCTACAATAGTTGTCTTCCTGGACCTTAAGACGGCATTTGACTCAGTGGATCGTGAGGCTCCGTGACAGTGTCTGTCATTAAAAAGTGTACCAAAGAAATACATTAGCCTCTCTCTACTCGAACATTACTATCGGATTTGAATTGACAATTACATCCCCGTGCTTATATGGTATGGTAACTTGAAGTGATGCACATACGTTCGAAGTTCTGCGTTGCTGTTTATTTATTGATCGACTGATTGTATACAAGGTATTGATACACAATGAGGTGTCCCTCAATAGAACAACTCACACATCTGTGGCCTCAAATTGATGTATCCTAAATGAGGATAAAACAGTGTTTTATTACTTCTTAGTTTTCGATGGTATTTCAGTTACCTCTACAATGGTGACAATAATCAGTAATACATTTTTTTTAAAAAATTCGATTCATCAAGTCTCGAAGTTGTTCACTCGCGTATAAATGTTTACAAAGAAGAATTATTCGTAATAATAGGTTGATCGAATGATTAAGGATACCAAATAAACTGAAGTGAGAACTATGCACACAGAACACAAGAATTCCAATGAATATCGAGGTTTTCATTCGAAATTCAGGTTACTTATCAGCGGAACGATTTTGAATGACAAAGTATTATTAACTGAGTGACTGATTTTATTAAATATGATAAATCTGCTAGATGAACGTAAGATCTGTATTCCTATGTGAATCTACACAGTATCTTGAACACAGGAGAACAGGTTCGATGTACGTGACGAATGTTTTACTCCAAGGTTAGTTTATAAACAGAAAACTGAATATGATGGAGTTTCGGTGAGTGGACTGGATATGTGGACTGTGCAGCTTTCTTTTGTTCTCCCTAAGCATAGAATCAAGTAACAAGTCAAAATAGAATACAATGAAAATGATGAGTTATACATTAGTAGTTTAGAGGTTAACAACAACCATTGAAGTTGCAGGTAAACAGGACGGGCGACTTGTCATATATATGAAGAAATTCGAATATATCAATTCTGCTTGACGTTTGTGCTGATGATGTGAATCACAAGTGCAATGACAGCTTTACAACAGAACCATCCAGCCTAGAGAACGAAATTCCACTATAACCATCCACCTGACCTACTCCTCTAGTTGAGCTGCTGAATTTTACATCAGGCATTGTATTTCTTAATGCGATACATATGGTTTTACATCAAATAATAATTGTGACGCGTTATTCTACATTATCCTGATGCATCTAAGGTGAAATTGTTTGTTGATGTTTTGAGTGATTCATTTCCTTGGCGTTTTTAGTCTACTACAATCTTTGCTGAGGGATGTTTCATCACACTACATCAAAAACAAACTAATTTCTATTAGATTTCTGGAGATTAGTGTTTTTTTATACACATTTTAAATCATCAATCAATCATTGTTAGACCACCATTAGAAACCTGGAACCATTGGACGGCTGTTTCATCCTGGTATGAACTCATCAAGATTGCGCATGCACGAACCCAAGACCTTCGGTCTTGCACACGAACGTTTAACCTTTGGACCGATGACCTGGCGTCCAACTCTGATAATTCTAGAGATTTTGCATGACCTCATCTAGTTTTCTTTGGTAGTTAATGGATAAAACAGACAGGTGTGAACTCCATTGACCACGTCTTATCAATAGAACTCCGAGAATTTCCTCATGAAGCTAGTCACCAACGAGCACATATTACGATATTTTCAATTAGAGTTGTGGAGATTAGTGTTTTTACACATTTTGTGGTGTGTGCTACTTATATGAACGATATAAGTAGTATAAAAATGGACGTGAAAGAAGAAGTCTCATGGTGAGAAGAGGAAAACAAAAAGCAAATAGAGCAAAAACAAGAAATAAATAGAGCATCGACAGGAAGTAAAGGAAGCATCAACAGGAATGGAAGAAGGCTGGAGCGATGGAAGTCAGGACTCAAAGATGGTGTGCAAATAGAGTGTTCAATGTAATGTTTTCGTTTTTAATTGAGTGTAAATTTGCCCAACACAATCTATCTAGCCTGCCTGAGTCTTCTCAATTTTACATCATCCATAACAATTTCTGAGTCAAAAACCTACTACAAAACACTTATTCTGAAAATTATAGAACCCGAATTCAAGAAAATACATTCAAACCGATTTTGTGAAAACAACCGTAAACAGATGTGACAAGTTGAGATATTGACTTTCTTTGCCTTAAATTACATTTCTTGAATATTAAATATATTTCTTGAATATACGTTCGTAATAAATTGATCATTGAATCCATGCGACATTAACTAATGAATGATTTGAATGTCACAGATGCATATTAACAGTGAGAAATATTTCAATTAACTGTGAAGAGATGTAGAGTTAACCAAGTGGCTTTAAATGATGAATAAATTCACAGTCTACTTATAATGGTAGCAAGTAATATAATGTGATGTACATAAAACAGTGGATCTGCGAGTGAGAAAACTACAAAATAAAACGTAACATTTTATTGTCTACAATCTCCTAATCTCTTTTCAACTTCAATCGAAGAAGTACGATGTCGATAGTTCAAAGGATTCCATCAGTTATTTTTATTCTGATTGCTTAAAAACCGTAACCTCGAATTAAATCCTTTCACAATGAAGCAATGTCTCTATGACTTAATATTTGTTCTCAGATTGTACAATCCTCATATGTAATGTATGCCTTACTAGTAGAAGTTTCTGTCAAAGTTCAGTTTATCAGAAATCCTACCTCAGGAGATTGAATTCCAAACAGTTTGTAAACAAGTGTTATTCAGTAAATAATTCACTTATATAAGGCAACACAAGACAAGATCGTCTTACTAACTGTCATATCGAAAATATTTAGCTCTAATATAAGAAACAGGTAACTGATTAGTAACTCCACCTGTAGACACTTCAGGGCTACTACCGGTCCCAAGCTCGGATGAAGGAGGAGGGTGGGGTATGGGGTTGGCAACCCCATCCCGTCAAAAAACTAACTTGCCAAAAAAACGCTAACTAGAAGATGCCTTGGAGGACGTTAACATCTATACATATCCGGGTAGCATCATCGACAACCAAGGTGGATCCGATGTAGATGTGACGGCGCGGATCGGCAAAGCAAGGGCTGCGTTTCTACAATTGAAAAATATCTGGTACTCCGAAAAACTTTCAACCAAAACCAAAATCCGGATTTTCAATACAAATGTGAAGACATTTCTACTATATGGAGCGGAAACTTGGCGAACAACGAAAGCCATCATCTAGAAGATACAAGTGTTTATTAACAGCTGTCTACGCAAAATACTTCGTATTCGTTGGCCAGACACTATCAGAAAAAACTTACTTTGGGAGAGAACAAACCAGATTCCAGTGGATGAGGAAATCAGGAAGAAGCGGTGGAAGTGGATAGGACATACACTACGAAAAGCACCGATCGGCGTCACGAGACAAACCCTCACATGGAACTCTCAAGGTGAAAGGAAAAGAGGAAGGCCAAGGAACACATTACGCCGAGAAATAGAGAAAGATATCAGAAGAATGAACAAAAATTGGACAGAACTGGAGTGGGAAGCCCACGACAGAGTTTGTTGGAGAAAACTGGTCGGCGACCTATGGTCCATTGGGGGTAACAGACGTAAGTAAGTAAGTAAGTAACTGGTTAGCATTATGTATCTTTGTCCGATTTACTCTGTGACTATACTTTGTGGCCTAATCAATTGACATGTTTCGTAGTGTTGTTGACTAAAACACGTAGAACTATTCAACAGTACGTGTGCAATTTCGACAATGTAATAATCATCATTCTGATTAAGCATATTAAGCAAACAATCAAACAAGCAGTGAAATTGACATTCATTTTATATTTTTGTCAATAACACAACAAAATCAGTAGTATACGACAATATTTGATTGTGTTTGTTTGTTCAACTGTGAACAATGTTCTCAAACCAGAATATTGTTCAAGGTACAAGGTAATAACAAAAGAAACACAGGCTATTTGAACATGATTCAAAATGTGACCTTGAAATCAGTTTCATTATTAAATAAATCTTGTAGTGGGTTGTTCAAAGGGATTCAACAGATGATACACATCGATTTGAACAAAATGAAAGCTTGAAATATGAACGATATGTCCAAAATTCAATTCACGAATTATCAGTCAATATAAACAAATTTATAATCAACTAACACAATTCAAAATAAGCGCAAATTGAAACAATTATGAAAACTTTACCTGACATTTCAATGTGTCAATGTCATTTCATGAGATGACGAATTAATTTTCAAATTTGGTTCCATGAAATTCTGGAAAAATTTCTGCCAGCTTCTCTGATGGTGCATGTGTTTTAATTAAGTCAAAAAGTTCATTGACTTGACTACGACTATTCACATGAGGATAAACTACTCCATTTGGTATATCCATATTGAGGAATTTACACAGCGGTTCCCAACCATCACCAAATTTATGAATGAGGAGACGTTCGGGTGGGACAGTTTCTTGTACCCTCTTATTATATTCATCAAAACATGTCAGTAGAAATTGATCATCGTCAATGTTCAAATCGTATTTATGAAATGTTTGTTTTAATGAAGACATAATCATTTTTTCTGCTTCTTGACCGAATGATAATGCTTGTTTTGCATCATCGAAGGTTTGTTTCTGTGGATCATTGGATTTGGGCATTACAGAATGTCGTACACTAGATAACCAATCATATTTATCACGTATGGTTAGTACAACCTAAATAAGATCCGAATGAACAACAGAAACCATAAGTGTTAGTGAATGAGAATATGTGTTCGATATGTATCTATCTAGCACATTGACAAATCAAGAATACATATATACGTAATTAGTATGAAATGTCAATTTTTCTGGTCGCTGATATTCGAATCAGTAGTGAATGAGTTTGTGCAATAATATGTGCACTGTTATCCGATCGTGGTAATATAGAAATTTATCACAAATGCCAACATAATTATAACGAGGAGGGTGAACGTGTTATCGACACATCCTCTCTTGGTCTGACAATTTGTAGTGCTTTAGACGTTGGAGTTGCTTGCAGACTATCATCACGTTAGATGGACGAGTCGTCTTTGTTCATGGAAGACGACTCAGTCTGGTTGATGTTGCCAGGGCGGGTAAACCAGCTAAACTGTTATTCGAAATACTCGGTCCATCATCTGAAAAGTCGACTTATGTTGCTGATTGATAACCCATCAGCCTCACAGATGGTTTCATTCAGTCATCTCGACTGCGTGATAACCCTTGATTGTCATGCTCGCGTAGTAGGCTTAAATGTTTCAACGAGTTGTAGAGAGTTTGTAGAAACGCAGTGCTTACAATCCGTAAGTGATTTTAATTGTCACTTTCATTGCGTCGTGCAATCACAACGAGCGCTAACTGGTACCTCCTGATCGGTCGAAAACTAACCTTGAACTAAGCTCGGTTCGATATTTGGTGGCGACGAAATCTAAAACCAACTTACGTTTCTCACATTAATCCGTTATTGATGATGATTATCGTAGTCACATTAAAAAGTAATATAAGATTAGGGTCAGGAAGAACATGATGAAAGTCGAGCGTATCACTCCAAAAGAAGCAGCTACCTTGTGCACAACCACAGGAGCACTAACTGATCACCATAAATTAAGTTCGACTCCAGGCTCAAAAGGATACTAAGTAGTACATCGGCCATGACTTTGACATTAGTTAATGCATGACATAAACAATTTTTAATGAATGTGACGTTGCAGTAGACAATCGCGGTTATCTGAACTGCAACCGACAAGACCTTATGGACACCCAAATAACTCTACTCTGTGCCTCGATGCCCGGCCATTGTGGTGTGAGCTACTTATAAGTAGTATATGACGTGAGTGTCAACGTAATGTCTGGCAGCAGCAGAAGATGGGGGAAAATCAAGAAAGGAAGAGTTAGAACACAATGGAATTTGTATGAAACGCATGAATAGTGACAATGGATTGATGTTTTGCAACAGGAACAGTCAAGTTCGATATGATGAACTGATATTTTGCAAATTAACTAACGATTCACGATATGGTTTTCCGATCTTACTGAGTAACGCTGTACTTTTCGTTACATACAATTCGGTTGTCCCACCTGTGTTCTTGTTCACTACAATATGATATCTTCTGGATCGCCTAACTGGTAGTAGAACTCATTTTCGATTGCGTTCGGCATGCAGTCTGTCGAAACGAGCCTCAAAATCGGAAATGATACAGTGTTAACTTCCATTGTCGTGTTGTAATAGTTTAATGGCCATCCTATTCAACTTCCAATTTGTTAGCTCATACACTTAAGAATGTGACTCATACTGAAGTATTTTATGAATGCGTTGGGTCGACTTTAAATTTTATTCAAATCAATTTTTAAAATAAATAGACCGATACAATTCAATGTTTGTTCCTACGTCTGACAGTCATGGATAACCAACCACTGCTGATTAAGCCGCCATCATCATAGAACAAAACATCTGTCCAATGCTTCCAGATTTCTAAAGCTAGTCTAACATTGATCGATTATTTTTGGTTTACTGAAAAAACATGACCAACCAAGAATAAAATACTTTATTAATCTACCTTAGCATCAGGATAAATATTCATTAATTCTTGATAGAATCCACATGCTGGAACGTCTGTCACTGCTCCATAACCATTCAATATTTCCATTAAACCTCTGCGTATCACTGATTCATTTGGTATAGTTTGAAATGCTTCATCAAATAACTTTTGCCATTTCTCAATATCGTCATGTTTTTTGGTCACAATTTCAACCATATGATAACATGGTTTTGAATAAAGTATTTCCAATGCTTGTTTCATACTTTTTGTTCCAGTTCTTGGGAGGCCAGCACCGATCACTAACAAGGATGTTGTGGTTGTTGAAGTGTCAGACATTATTTCACTATGTATGATTTGGATTCAAGAATGGATAACTGATATTTATAATATACCTACACACACACATGTATTCAAAGTACTAATGAGTAATAATTAGAACAGATTATCAATGGGTTTAGTCAACATGTGAGAATAATTGAAAAGAGTGACAGATTTTAAGATATGTGCATTCAGTCGATCAGAAATGATTAACCATGGATTACTCTGAATAGTACAGATTAAAAGGTTGATTAATTAAAGGATGATTGTACTTTTTACTTGTAAATACAAATTAAAGTACACTTTTTCAAGCTACAGTGAACGATTATTATTAATATTATTATTTCACATCATCCAAGAGGAAACGGCTGTCCAGTGCTTCCAGGTGTCGACTGGTGGTCTAACTATGATTGATTAATGATGATTTCAAATGTGTAAAAAACACTAGTCTCCATAACTTCAATTGAAAATATCGTCATATGTGCTCACTAGTGACTAGCTTCGTGAGGAATCTTCTCCGAGTTCTAGTGGGAAGACGTGACCAGTTGAATTCAACCCTGTCGAGTGTATGCAGTAACTATGTTACGCTCGTCACTAGGTACGCTTGAAGTTATTACGAGTTTACCTTAGTCGATAACCGTGAACGAGACAATGAACCAGTGTCCAGGTAGGCAGCCTTGATCCCAAAACTGCAAAAGATAAGTCTTGATAAGCGTAGAGTGTATATTCTACAAACACCCAGCAACCAAATTTCAATCAAGCATACAACTCTCGTTTATTTATACATCATAGAAATGTCCTTGGGACAGTTACGAAAATAGCACACTAAAATACACAGCAGCCAATCACACACAGCCAAGGATTTTGCTGGTGGGAAATGTAATCGCAAGGTCAACTGATCAGCCCATGCTCGTAAACGCGAAATCCGAAATAAGTCATTTATCAAGCGAGTTCTGGGTATCTAACATCCCCGAGAAATAACCAAAGACAAATGGGTATGATCGCACCGTTGGATGCCAGTCCACTGATCCAGAGGTTGGGAGTTCGCGCACAAGACCGGGGGTCTGGGGTTCGAATCCTGCAAGGGTGCCGGAGTCGTGGATGCGCACTGCCACTGATGAGTCCCATACCAGAACGAAATGGCCGTCCAGTGCTTCCAGGTTTCTAATGGTGGTCTAACAATGATCGACTGATGATTTCAAATGTGTAATTGAAAATTACTATTATTGTTTAGTGGTGACCGAGTCGGGATTGACTATGATCACCACTAAGTACTGATTACGAACCCGTCATCAATCCAGGATAAGGAACATATTTGCTGGTGACTTCATGGTGTTGAAAAAACACCGAAATTACGCCAGGAAAGTGGGGCAGAATGAAAGAGTAGCTACAGCAAAGATGGCAGGCAACAACACAAACAGAAAGTTGCACGTACAGAGTGTCTTATAAAACAAAGAGGTTCAGTTAAACAATCACTGATACAATTGGTTATAATAACCAATTACGTTCACTTTATAAAAGTACTCCACTACAATTGTGTCAAGGTTTTTTCTTAATGAATTGTCAATGTGGATTTCGATTAAACAATAATGTCAAGAGTTTTTTTAATTTTGACCTGATGGTTGAGAAGTGGTCAAGTTGTTTGAATATCCTACTAACTAGTCATAGGTCCGGATCATATCCGTTTGGATATAATTAGTCTTCAAACTTAACAGTGGAGTTTCAACTGATTGACCTAAACGAATCTGTATCAAGTTAATGGATGAATCTGTTGAGGGAGCTAGATCCCTAGAACTCACTTGATAAATGCCTTAATTTTGGATTTCACGTTTGTGAGCATGGACTGATCAGTTGATCTTGAGATTATATTTCCCAACCGCAAAATCCTTGACTATTATTGGTTGATGTGTTATTTTAGTATGCTATTTTGTGGATCTCCTAATGACGTTACTATAATGTATAAATAAACACGATTTGTGTGCTTGTTGGGTATCTGTAGAATATACCTTCTACGCTATTTCAAGACTTTTCGTTAGTCGACGGATCAGAGTAGCCTACCTGGACGCTGGTTCATTGTCCAGTTCTCGTGTATCGACTAAAGTGAACCAGTAATAGTTTTTCTAGCATACCTAGTGACGATCATAACAGAATCATTGTTTAAATATTGATATTTTTCTGTATGAAATAAATTCTAATATTTCTGTCAGCCAACACATATATGAGATTTTCATAGAAGCAAATATTTTTTCACGCTTTTTAACATGTATGGTGAAATCATCAATCTAATCATTGTGTTAGACCACCATCAGAAACCTGAGAGCACTGTTATGGGACTCATCAGCAGTGCGCATCCAGGACTCCTGCACATTGCAGGATTCGAAAGTAAGACCTTCAGTCTTGCACGTGAACACATCAACTCTGGACGATAGCATTGTGATTTTTTTTAATAAATTAAAACTGAGGTTATTGGATGTAAGAAAAACACAAGACGTTGTCTACTGGATAATGTGAGAATTATATTGGTTCTAAGATCCGCATGGTTGAAATTTCTCATCGATAGTATCCACACCGTCAACATTAAAAAAACTAGATGTACGATTCATTCTACTATGAGACATCTCAATAGTGCACATTGTACTATGAAGCGAGAAATTGAACCTTGAACCTTCGATCTTAAACTCAACCGATGAACCTCCGTCCCTTTCCGTCAGCCGCTGTGGATATCAGTGTATGACTTCATTTCATTCACCGAGATCAGTTCATGATGTTTGTGGCAGAAATGTTCATATTAGTTTTTGACATTCTAACATTGTCAAAACAACATACTGATATGTATTTACGTGAACTATCAATCAATTACATTGATTACAATCTATTCGTGTGGTGGTGTTTCGTTCTCTGTGAGTCAAATATTTTGATTGTGGAACTTTCATTATTCTTCTACTGAACAACAACATCATCAGCGGCACAAACTTCAGATAGCAGAAGTGAAGTATTCGAATTTCTCCACATTTGACCCGTAGCGTGTTCTGTTCAAGATCAACGTTAACAGCACAAGCTACCGGTCAAACGTGGAGAAATTCGACTACTTCACTTCTCTATCTGAAGTTTGTGCTGATGATATTGTTCCACAACCAAAACATCCAGCTCAGAGAACGAAACTGCACCACAGTCATCCAGCTGAGGCTTACATTTTCTCCATATATCTCAATCTATTCTGAATGTACGTTTTTGAAAACAACCTTTAAAGAACATGAAAATGAGGCCCAATTTATTTGACGCAAATTGTTTCCCATCGATATACTGAAAATCATCTTTTCGCACTTTTCATTTACCGATAAACTGTCACATTGTCATGGCATTTTGATCTGACTGAATCAATAAAATGTCCGGCTGACATCGAACTCACTCATGTCATCATGTTCACGTACAGGATAAATAATCACACGAAATGGGAATAAAATCACTGAGTGTGTAGATTGCATTGACAGGTTTGAATACACATGAAAAGTCGATGATTATTACTTATCCGATTGCAAGTATATGATAGTATGTAACGACAGCTGGGTTAGTTAATTAGTTTACCTCATTTTACAAGGTACAATGTCTGTAGGCTCTTCAAAGTAAGCAGAGAAGAGATGTTGTATAGAAAATGCGGCACTAGGGAGCAGGAAAAGAGTGCAGTACATATGAGCATTGCAAATTCAATCGTATTAAATAAAACAGGTCAGAAAGCGCATGAATCTATTAAATACACAGAAGCACACATTTTAACTACGATCCGCTTATATGTTCGCGGTAGATGAATTCACTACGATCTGAGACTGAGAAAGTAGATTTAATTGGTACCAATCCAATTTTCACACATCTGAAATCATTAATCAATCATCATTGTTAGACCACCATTAGAAACCTGGAAGCACTGGACGGCCGTTTCGTCCTAGTATGGGACTCCTCAGCAGTGCGCATCCACGACTCCTGCTCCCCGCAGGATTCGAACCTAGGACCTTTGGCATTGTAGGCGAACACCTTACCATCGGACCACTGGGCCGGCATCATTCTTTAACAGCATAGGGGTATAAAGCTTTTCGCAGTCAAGTATACGTTACATCTATGTATGGAGTGTATTGATTGGAGTTTAAACTACTTTACTGAAACTAATGACACCTTATCGCAGTTAATAGAATGTTTTTATGAAAATCGATTAGATTTCATGTCAGTATTTATCACGGTGATAAGTTGGTTTTGTCATTGTTGATATTACCTTAAAACTGATCAAGTCTATCGAAACACAAATCAGGTGCTTATCGCTGACTCAAGAGCTGTTGATTTGCTGAAGTTGTAGTGTAAAGTTGTCACCTATAAGTACTAACTAAACATAAAATAAATGTTCGTTCGGTATTTAAACCTGTTATCAGCTTATACTGTCCAGTAGGCCAAGACGACATTTTGAGTAACTCATACACAAGAAGGATTAGAGAACTAATACTGAATACTTGTAGGTCGAGCCAATACTATCCTAACCCAGGCGAAGAGGAAGAACACAAGATCAATGACCACATCACATCAATTAAAGAAAAATAACACCTTCACACGAATGAACAAAAAGTGGCTGTGAGTAGATAGAGAGAGAGTGACTTTGAACAATAAATTGACCGCAAAACTGTAGTAGCAAATCCTATGATCATAGTTCATGAGTTAGGGAAGTGTAGAAAGGATTTGATTCAGTGTGTTTTCATGGATATAGGGTTGGATGTAACTTCCCAGCTGCCCAAACTGTGGAAGGATTTTGGTTGACAGAAAGGGGCACCGGCCTCATGGCTTCCGAAGAAACTCGGCTTTCATCAAGAGACGCCATAACTATTCTAAACGAAGACCTGCTATCTCTTTGAGCAGAGTTTTAGTTAGTTTTTTTGCCAGACAAGGTCGCCAACCTTAATCCAAACCCTCCTGCTTTATCCAGGCTTAAGACCGGCAGTAGGTCTAAAGGATCTACTGACGCAGTTGAATAATTACACAATTAAATCCAGTAAATTGCTTTTCTTAGTGATCGTTTACTTTGATCTTTGTTCTAATATAACATTGAACATTTTCATCATTTTGTTGTTTAAATGCATCAGACAACAAACTGTTATCTCAGAAGTTTACGTAATTAACAATACAACATGAGACCGCATACATTCATATGATCTAATGTTTCATTGTCACCAATATCTAGTTTCTCACACACACACACAAAATCATTGTTTGTATTGAAAAGGAATTCACTGCTTCCAAATGATTCTTCGAAATGTTTCCACTTTCTTCTTGAAATCTAAGAACATTTCACAGTAGCACTTTCACTTAACGATCTAGTGTCAGTCAGGATTTGATTTTGACCAATTTACTCTCTCGTGCTGTTACGGTTATGAGGGTGGTTGTCACTTCCCGGCTGACCACCCCATGGAAGGCTGTTTCTTGAGGGACCTGAAAAGGAGGATAGATTAGTGTTGGTCTTAGGGACCTGGGAGCGTGACCGCAGAGTCCAAGAGACAACTACTTGAGGCCGGCCACGCACGGCCTTTTGATGAAAGGTATTTTGAGTGTTAAATCCGCTGTTGAAAGCCCTTAGTGGGCAGCCTTACCGACGGAGACGAAAATCCGTGAGGTAGGGTGAGGTGTGACATTTTTAGGGTCGACCTTTTCTAACTCCTTCCTTCCTTATGAGAAGGCAGCATCGTTGCAGATGCTGGTTGTCCGAGGAAAACACCTTACTGCTGTCACAGTCTTCGGCAGTCGGCAGTACGACTTCGCCCTCAGACCTTGAGTAGCTGCTTTTAGTCTGATCTTTCTCCAATCGACCTGCCTGGCATGGTAGAACCTTCAGGAACATGAGTTCCAACCAATATAGCTCGGTTGGGTCTTCACGATAGTCAAACCCGACCACCACGTCAAGGTAGCAGCTTCGGTCGGTCGATATGGTGTAGGTTTGCTCTAAAAATCAGTCACATTTTCAACTGATTTTATTTCCGTTTAACCCGAAACATAAAACAGCTCGATTTGTTCAAGCGTATTCTACAACCCATTCAATACTTCAATTTTATCGATTTCTCTTTCAAATCAATCATGAATAATCATGTAGAGTTACATCAGTACTTATGATTATAATTGAAGATCCCAATCTTTCAGAAGGAATTCAATTTGTTTGAATGTTTCTTGTCGTTTATTTATATGAGGATATGACGACGACAATACACCACCATCAGGTATATTTAAATTTAAAAATCCACATAATGGCTGCCAACCATCTTGAAATTGATGTATTAAAAGACGATTGGATGGTACATTGTCAATAACTGCACGATGATATTGTTCGTAACATGTTAATAATATTGAATCTTCAACGTTGAAATCAATTGTGTTTGTTTGAAATGCAAATCTTAGCGAATCAAGTATCATTTGCAGAAATTCATCGTTCAATCCTAAAATTTGTTGAATTTTATTGATCAGTATAAGATGAGAATAATGATGAGGTTTTGGTAAAATGGTTTGTCGTAAACTGGATAACCATTGATATTTATCACGAATTGTTAATACAACCTGAAATAGCAAAAACGAATGAGATAAGTTGTTAAAAAGTAACTGAATTTGTGTTAATTGTCATTCATTTGGTGCCCAGAAACTTTCAGGGAATTTTTTGTCACTGTGACAGTTGAATTCATCTCATTCACTGTTAAATTACGAAACGCAACACAGAGCATGATACATTCGTTCATCAGTTCAACTTTCCATAACATGAAATTATCAGGTAAAAATTTCACAGTAGTACAGATCGTAACAGTATGAGTGGTAATATAAACGACTAGGTAGGGAAGATAAGATTGGAGAAAATATTTCAATCAGCGAAATAAATTTAATGGCTGAAATCACGAATCGATCTTAGCTAGACCACCATTAGAAACCTAGTAGAACTAAGCAGTCTTTCTGTGTTAGTGTAGTCGGCAGTGTGCATACACGACCCCTGTGGTAGATAACTGTCTCCTATTCGACACCAGTTGAAATCCACTGGTCATGGCTGCTCACCGGAATTCCAGGAATTCATCTTTGTACCTTGTGACCAGTGAGCACATGATTTTTATGAATGATTGGGATTTGTGCAAGGTGTATTTTTATACACATTGTGAGGGGAAGTAGACACGCTTTGATGACGAATCCCATGTTAGAATGAAGTGAACGTCCAGTGTTTCCAAGTTTCTAATGCTTGTCATACTAGTATCCGTTGGGATTTCATCAAAAAGAATAATACAGCCTCCACAAATCCTCAGCGTAAATAAATTTAAAAAATGAAATTTTATCAAGATTAGAATTTGAGAGAAGACAAAGAATGGTTGCATCTAGGTCACTGCAAGAAATTTTGAGCCATTTCATTACCATGGGAACCTCAATCAGGTAGTCAACACCAATTAATATGACTCAGTCCGATTGTCGATACTTCACGAACTAGTGTCATGTTTTGGTTTGGTCACTGTTAAATTTTTCCAACCTTCTGCTAAACGAGTCAACAACACTCACTGATATACTCTGTGGTTGGACATACGCAGCACATGTCCAAACCAACTCAACTAATAAAGACTCATTACTTCATCAAATGATTTGCCATCCCTATTAAGTACTATCGTTCTAACCCAAGCATTGCTTAATCTGCTGTCCTATAATACATGATCCGTACTTCGAAGACACCTATGACAGAATACTGGTAACCTACAAAAATATCCTGTATTCTTAATGTCCATTCTTCACACCAGTAAATTAGAACAGAACCGACCCAAGTCAATGTTGATGGAAGACAGAGAATCACATCCCGAACATGTTAGCATTGTTGCTCAAGGTTGTCAGCAGACTCACCTACTACAGTGAACATGAATCTCTTGTATAAATGAAAAATTCATATTTGTCACTAGTGAGCGATCGATTAATTCCCAGTTCTGAGTTTAATTTGACAATAGATCCAAACATATAGTTTTCTCATCAAGTAGTTGCTCCTTAAACTTGTAAAACAACATTTTCAATCATGTTTAATTAAAGAACAATGGTAACATCCAATGTGCTCGACTGTATAAAATGTGCTTTATCCTAACTGTCACCTGACAATATCGATATTGAACCGAAGGGTATATTTGTTCATCCTCTACGATGACCCAAATTTGTTTGCCTGAAATCAACTAGTGTTTACGTGGTGATTTATTCGGATGAAAATATGCACTGGTTTTTGACACAATATCTATCAATAAACAGTAATGTTTCGAACACACTTTCAATTTTCACTCAGTGAATAATGCCAGAAACGTTTAATAATCATTTTGTTCTAACGTTGATCATTAAACTAGGAAGATATACTCAAAAAGTTGTTCTGTACATGCTAACACAGTCGTCAACTAGTCAATATTCCATGACTGAGGGTTGCAGTTAACGTAGACGAAGGATAATCCTTCTCAATTCATTTCATCCAAACTGTACATTTTAAACATGACACTTTTGGCGCACTTTTTAATAATAGTCAAACATCACTATTGTCTTATTGTCTCACGTTTTACGTTTTATGAGAAATATACAACAGTAGTTCAAATGAATCAGGAAATTTTTAAAAAAGCAGGTTAACATTCAATGATACCTTAGAGGTTGGATATAAACTCATCAACTCTTGATAAAATCCACATGCTGGTATATCTACCACTGATGCATAACCATTCAATATTTCACTGAGACCTTGATAAATCACTTGTTTATCTGGTGTCAACTTTCTTGTTTCATTAAACAATTTGCGCCATTTCACAATATCACCATGATGCGTTTTTGTGACTGTATCAATAAGGTGATAACATGGTTGAGGATAAAGTATTTCCAATGCTGTTTTCAAACTACTTGTTCCTGTTCTCGGTAGGCCAGCTCCAATGACAAAGAATGGTGTTGATGTATCTGACATAATTTTAGTTTGTTTTTTCTTAAAAAAACTACTTGTGAATTGAACATTTAACACGCATATATTTATACATTTAAACAAAAAATATCATGATTGGATAACTAGAAATATTCATGTTACATTCATCATGATTTTATGTGATCAATTCAATTTTAAACTTATTTTATTCTAATTCAATATTTATGTATAAATCATTTGTTTATTCATTGGACTCTTTAACCTTGAACGTTACTTTTATTGAACATTTAACCAGAAGGTTATCAGTATGATGATTTATGAAACGATAATCATGATTTATAATTTATTTTCAATGATCTTCCAAGAACTAGGATACATATTATGAAGAAGGCATTGAGGTATATTTTACTGACAGACATGTCTTGTTTCTGAAAAATCGTTATGATATTTATTGAGAAATGAACAAACATTTGTTTGTTGGCTGTTCAGGTTTCATCGGCACCTGAACTAGTGATAGGGAGTGAAGTAGTCGAACGCGTAGACCGCTTCACTTACCTTGGGAGTCTCATCAGTGCTGATGGCCTGATGACTGACGAAATCTCAGCTCGGATATAGAAGACTCGATTGACTTTTGCCAAGCTGCGTCAGCTATGGAGCAGGCAAGATATCCGTTTGCTGACTAAATGACGAGTGTACTGTGCAGCGATTCGCTCCGTCCTACTGTACGGATGCGAGACTTGGCCGTTAAGAGTAGAGGACTTGCCTAGGGTTTCTGGTCTTCGATCATCTATGTCTCCGAAGCATTCCTCGTGTATCATGGGACAACCGCATAAGCAATGCTGTCGTTAGGAAACGAGTTCTAGTTAGGGACGGCAAATCAATAGATGAAGTAGTGAAACTTCATCAATTGAGGTGGTTGGGACATGTGTTACGTATGGCTAACCACCGACTGCCGCGACGAGCTATGTTTTGTGGTGTAGGAGTAGATTGGAAGAAAGCTAGGGTCGGCCAAACCAAAACATGGCACAAATCCATGAAGTCACTGACAAGTGGACTGAGTCATGTTGGTAGATGTAGGCTACGTGGTTGGGGTCCATGAGACGAAAGTAACCGATGGTTAGAGACCTTGACTGACATGGTTCAGAATCGTTTGCAATGGCGCAGGTGCATCCACTCTTTGTGTTCTATGAAATTCTAATCTTCTGAATTCCTCATAATCTCTATTTTTCTCCTTTTAAATTTATCTCACTGAATTATACTTCTCGAATCATATCTTCGCTCCCTAATCTTCTTCATTACTGCTAATACTTCTGTTATTGCTATCACTCTTGGATTTGAACTGACAGTTGCGTCTCTGTGCTGATGGGGCATGGCAACCTGAACTGATGTACTTACATGCGAAGTTCTGCTTTGTAGCTGTCTGTCTATCTGTGTCTGTTGGAAAAACAAATAGAACACTATTAAATCAAACGATGATACATAGAGGTTTCAGGGAAATTTTGACCGCTTAAATAGCTATGATTAGCACCGCAATAATATGATTCTCAACTGAAAACTGACAACTTCTGATCTTCACATGCTGGTGTCATGAATGAAGATTTTAACTGCAACATCTGCAATAGTAGTTAGATCAGGAAAAACATAGTTTACTAGAAAAATGTGTACAGCTTATTTTCTGATTTCGCTTTGTTTTTTCTTTCACATGTCTTCTAGTCTTCAAACCACATCAATCACACCATACATTCTGATATGATATTGTTCTATCCGGTTATAATTTCTGAAAGACACTCCACTGCATACTACTATGAAACCATGTTGAAAGTAGTATACAACACACACCATGGTATGGAATTATGAGAAACTGGTTTTATAGTTTTTTTTTTGTCGGCTAATCCTCTTACTGTATCCTCAAACTGTTGACTAGTCTCATGTTTAAAGTAGAAAACGTCATTCAGAAGTATAGCTTAAAAGCAGTAATCTTGGGTGTACTCTAAACATTTAGATTTGTTTCTGGTTACCGTGCTTTTTAGTTCAGAATTCTTTAGGCGGTATCTACAAAATTCCGTTAAATTTCAAGCATATATAGTCTATTTAATAAAACACACCACAGAACACATCACACCATAAATTGAGGAGACAAATTTATAAAAGAGCGATCTACGCAAGAGAGTTAGTTGCATGATAAATGAATTAGTTTAGTGAAGATTGTACTATATACAACATAAACCGAATTACAAACAACCATATCGATGGCAATAACAAATAACAAAAGTTGCCTAACTAACGGCGAAAAGCTGCTCAGTGTCATCTTTCAGGCTGGTTTAAGTCTTCTAATTACTGCTACTTGTTAGGCAATACACTGAGCTTTTTATTTGCTAATGATTTCGAAGCATAGGGACATGTTCACGATGTGTCCAGTGTAAGATCCATTTTTTTTTGAAGGCTTTGTTTGTGAAAATCCCTCCATGGATACACATCTGTAATTTGTTCTTATTGAGATTCCTTCAGTTGTACATTTTGTTAATCTGTTCGATTCCATTTTGGGGATGATAATATTTGTATTTTTGATTATAGTTTCTACTTCTTCTACCTTTAACTGAGTTTTTATGTTTCTTTCTGAACTGCATTTATGTTGTGTTAATCTGATACTTAGTCATAGCGACAGCCATATTGATTTGTTCCTCTTTTGATTGGATTGCTTGCATTG